ATCATTTTCAATTACATATTTATACAATAAAATATCTTGTACGTAAATTCATTTTTTTTTTTAACTTTTTAACCACCCATTTTCCCCAAATCACAATTAAAAACTTTATTTCTGAAAAGTATGATTGTTAAATGGGGGCTTATTTGGATTTCTTGATTTGTTTATTATCTACTAATAAATATTTCACTAAAAACGATATATAGCCTTTTTTCATAGAGCTTCAATTACTTGTCAACAGTCGAGTAGAAAACACGAAGAAAGACTAGTTTTCGTAAATGAATCAGTATTTCGAATAAAGTTCTATTCTTGAAGAGGTAATTATATTGAAATCACGTGTTAATTGTACTTCGAATCCTCGATCTGTGCTCATATAGCCCTTGCGTCCCTAACTTTTTTCAATGTATCTTTATTATCAACCTTCCATTTATACATCCCATATATTTAATAATGATTTCCATAAAAAAAAAAAAATCCATTATGACTTATTTTCATTGTATATCAAAAACAAGGTTAGTCTTGAAATTTTAAGTATCCCGTGTAATATTTTAAAATGGTACCCCACCTTTATGAAATTATAAAATATATTAAGAAAAAAAATGTTTCGATAATATTATTTCATTGCAAAAATATGACATTTAAATATCTATTTATTGTATACATGTCTTAAATAAGAAATGTACAAGTAAAGCTCAAAACATCTTCCCAAGTTTTATCAAAATTCATATCTCATCATCAAAGAACCATCCAAGCCACTAAAATCTTCGTGCAATTCCAAAAATCAAAAACATTAAATACCATGCGTAAACCTTGTAATGCAACAAATTGAGTAAAAATATTTCTTCACATTTCTAAAAGTAAACTCACTCATTAAACTTTCGTAATCAATATATTCTAGCAAATTTTATTCAACAACTATCAAAGATAGCTCATTCAATCGTTCTTGTAATATGTTGATCGCAAATAAGATTTTAATAATTTCAATTTTGAAAAGCTTCTTTTGGCTGTTGTAATAGTGACATTAATTGTCAATAATATTTTATAAGCAATAAATGTATTTGGAAATAACCCAAGCCTCACACTAAAATAGACAGTTTAAAGGGTGTGAGGGAGTGGAATAGTAAAAATGGATCTATGATTAGCTTTTCACTATTCACTTTAATCACTTGAATTTTAGGTTGTTTATTGTCTTGTTGGATTGGTAATTGGTTAATGAAGTAGATGAGTCATCTGAGATTGGGGTGGTAAAATAGATAGTTTAATTTTAATTAATTAATTAATTTTTTTTTGGAAAGTAAGATAGTTTAAAATTTCAAAAAACAATTTTTTTTCAATAATATGCTAAACTGAAAAAATATTAGTGTAGTATAATTTTTTTACTATTTTTTCATAAATATTCTCCCTTAAACTTAACATTACAACACAAATTTTAAATTTTAAAATTAATGAAATATTTTAAATATATAACTACACACACATAATAAATTTTTTTTGGTGCCCTTACAATGCGGAGGCTCTTTGCGGTTGCTCAACTTGCTCACTCTTAAGGACGCTTCAGATAAAAAAATTAATACAAAAGTGCAATAAAGTATTTTTTCCCCCTAAATTTGAAGTCTACAAAAAAGAATTATGATATAAATCATATTCAAGAATTAGATGTATTAATTCATAAAATTGTTGAAGATAAGAATTTGATGAAAAAAAAAAAAAAGTAAGAGATGTAAGTGTTATAAAATGTAAAAGTTGAGGACCTGAATGAAATTAAAATGAAGTGTAAAATAGTGTAAATATAATTAGCCCCCCCCTTGTCATCCATTTTTTCATGATTTTTTTTTCTCAAACTTATTTTTAACTATACATTTATATAATAAAATATTTTATACGTAGTTCAAAATTTTATCTATTTTTTAATCATATTTTTCAAAAAATCACTATTCTAAAATTTATTTTTTCTAAAAAACTCTTTTAGCCCCTGTTTAGTGTCCATTATTTTAAAATGATTTTTATTACTTGATTATTTTTAACTATACATTCAAATAATAAAATGTTCTGTACGTAAATTCAAAATTTTTACTTACTTTTTAATTACTTATCCTCTAATGGCGTTAGTCTTCTTGGATATGCTTTATTCTTCCTTATCTCTTCGTAGGTAACAACCTAATCAAAATGGGCCCTTGTTGGCTGTCATGTCAATTGTGAGCTGTGATTTGTGAAGATAGAATTCAAGTAAATTTTAGCCGTTGGGCCTGGCCTACATGTGGTCCAATACTAACGGCTAATTTGTTTATTTATTTTTCTCTTGGACATTGAATTATTTTCATGTTTACTTTTCTATAATTTATTATAAAACTTAACTTTCTATTTTATGGCAATAATTTTCCCATTTTAGAAAATGACATTTGAATTTTGAATTTTGAGCCTTTTTTTATTTTAAATAATTAAACTTTAACTGTATAGTAAAAACTTTCCTGCCTTATTACCTAACACGAAAATGACACTTCACCTAATCTTGAGAATTAAAATTACACTGACGAGTAAAAACTAAGGGAAAATATCAAGAAATCATTACATAGAAGTGATTGTTGTGCTATAAATTAGAATTTTTTTTTCTTTTTATTATAATAAATTGCTTGTTATTTGATTATACCGAGATAAACAAAAGAAGCAAATTTTTGAATACTCAGTTCCTGTTTGGTTTGGGAGCAATTTTTGTGGGATTTTAATCAAAATTATAGCCGTTATAGTCAGCATGTGGGGCCCCACATGTGAGAGAGAAAGTAAAAAATGATGGCTGATTTGATAGTTAACTGCTAGAATTTTGATTAAAATCTTGATTAAAATTTCTCTCAAACAGGGCCTAAAATTCAATTATAATTTCAAGTCAAATTCAACCATTAATTTTAATCACACATTTTATGGGACCCATAACTTTTCAACCACACATTTCATTAACTTTTATCAAAATCTACAAAAAATCTAATGTTAATCGGCTAAATCTTATCATAAATTGTACATTTTGATGTCTAAACTTCATCATAGTGTTTAAGTACAGAGCTATTATTTTGTATTTCTTTTGTAGTCCTCATTTGGGATGGCTTAAAAATTTGATTAAAATTTAAATCAAAATCAATAATTAATTTTAATTAGATATTTCATGTCATCCATAATTTTTATTAATTTTTCAACAATATATCTCATCAATTTTTATCAAAATTTGTTAAAAATATAATTTCTAGCCACATCAATCGGGATTATTCTAACTCCGTGTATATGTAGCTCAATCTTTATACAATAATGCTAAGTGTACATTCTTTGATTGCATCATTGTTTACGTTCTATTTGTTTTCAAAAAGTTGTGAACGAGAAACGTGTTTTTTTTGAATTGTTCAATTGCGTGTTAACCAGGTGACGCAATACAAATAATAATGTAAAAAATGATGTAAATGTATCATGATTGATATGTATAAATCAATTTTCCTACCCGCCCACGTTCTTACTTGAGGATTAGGTTAAATAAAACGGCCCAGAAACAGCTAATGAAGTCAATGGCGTGAACTGTTTAGCATATATCTTAGTGTCAAAGATAAGAACAAACAAAATTAAATATTCACAAACCTGTCAATATCTCTCTGTTCTTTCCAGAGCACTCCTTCTCTCTCTTCCCAAGAACCCTAATCATTACTTCATAAAAGTAATTGTGATTAGTTTTTGAAATTTGAGCTGGCCAACTATCGCAGCACACGTAAACCTTCTTAGGTTCTAGTTATTCTCAAAAGAACCACACTAGATGGGCCGCGATTGTGGGCCCCACCACAATGTGAGTTAGAGTTTTGGTTCACAATTTTTTTCACAATCCCTTCACATGGGGTGAGACTTGCGATTGTGGGCACCACCACCATATGAGATGGCTGTGAAAAAAATTGTCAAATAAAACTGTACGTTCAACTTTATTGTTTGTTTTCAAAATACATTTCCTTCCCTCGTAAACATTTTTAATAAAATAATATTACACACAAATTTAAAAATTTTACTTATTTTTTAATCACACATTCTTCATCAAAATATTATTTTAAAATATATTTTCATCAAAAAATGAGGCTCAATAGCCTCGTAACATACTATTTAAGACGAATAATCTAAGTTTTGAGAGGATTACAATATGGTGAGAGAACGGTTTAAATTACAACTTCGAATTTCATTTTGAAGAATAAAAATTTTAGACGAGATTTTTAGCATTGGATAAAAAATTAAATTTTATAATTGCTTCCCAACTTAATGTCCAATTAGAAAGTTGGTCCTCAATCTCAAGAAAGGAATAGCACGGTACTTTAACTTTTGCTATAAACTTTGTTGGTAGGGGATTAAAATTTAATTTTCAATAAATTTCGATAAAAATTGATAAAATATATTATTAAAAAATTGTAGGTTCTATAAAATATGTTTTTAAAATTAATTGTTGACTTTTATTTAGATTAAGATCTAAATTTCAATTTATGTCAAACATAGACTAATTGTTCTATCGATTTTATTCTGAGTGAACTATCGATTCTAAAAAAATAGAATCCTTTAAATTTTTGGCAAATCGATGCATGATACTATGTGTCTAACTTTAAAATAAATCTAGATTTTTCTTATCAACTAGAGTCAATATGTAAAAATTTGAAGTGGGATATATTTTTATGATAGAGAGATATGAGAATATAATATAAATAGGCAAATTTTGCAACTTTTTTTATGATAAAAGTATGAAAATCAACTTGCTCGTAGTTAAAGGTGGAGAACCAATTTGCTATTAGTAGAATAAATTTGGAACAAATAATGCAATTTCTCCATAAGAAAGTGTCATCTCAACTATTTAACACATCAGACACCACCATCCCTTCTGCCATCACAGCACACTTTACTGAGCCTCATAGCCCAGAAAGAGTAAGAAACAAGGACCCCAAAACTTCCAGTTCTTCCACACAATCAATGGCAGAAAGCAAGGAAGAAGATGTTAAACTTGGAGCCAACAAGTTCACAGAGAGGCAGCCATTAGGCACAGCGGCTCAAACAGACAAGGACTATAAGGAGCCACCACCAGCACCTTTATTTGAGCCTGGAGAATTGACATCATGGTCTTTTTACAGGGCTGGAATTGCGGAATTCATAGCCACTTTCTTGTTCTTGTACATATCTATTTTGACTGTTATGGGTGTTGTCAGTGGAAAGAATAAGTGTTCCACTGTGGGCATCCAGGGAATTGCTTGGGCCTTTGGGGGTATGATCTTTGTACTTGTCTACTGTACTGCTGGTATCTCAGGTCAGTCTTTAAATTCCTTTCCTCTCTTTACTTTTAAGTAACTCTTTTTTGGGGATTTTCATTTCAGTTACCCTTTTTTAGGCTTCTCCAAACATGCAATTATTCCTTTTTCTCTCTGTATATCTAATTTTTTAGTCCTATTTTTTTACCATCTTTGACTCAAAACAGTTCTTTAATTGTTTTGTGGGTTTTTAGAGATTTCTGAGGAAATTTGTTCAGTTGAGCAGTGATTTGTGTGGTTCCTTCTGTGTATTGGAAATTTTTGTGGTTTTTATTGTTCTGTTTATCTGGATAAGTGCACGAGTTCTTAGTTGAACCATGGGCTAGATAATATTTGGAACAAAAGATTCCACCTTTGTGATTTCTTGAAATTGTTTGACTTATTTCCGTGTAAGTTGTTTGGCTATGCTTAAAAAGTTTACTTGTAAGTAAATAAGTATTAAAATAATTACTATGTTGATGGTTAATGTTGAGTAAGTAGCTTAGAAGGTAAAAGTTCATATAAATATATACTTTTTTCAAGCTTAGCGTTACATGCTCTTATGAGTGATAAAATATGTATATCGAAACAAATTTTAAACAAAAATTAAGTCATAAACATTTCTCTACTTTGATGTAAGGTAAAAGTTGTCAAAATATGTACCTTTTTCAGCTTAGCTAGACACGAGTGAGGGAAAAGTAAGATATTCACAAACATTTTTGAAACAAAAATTTATTTATGAGCAACTTTTAAAACTACATTTCCATCGTATCACTGTTTAAAAATCAATTTTTCCTCCAAAAAAATCCATACCAAACAAACACTTAATCTTTCCTGGTTTGCGTGTTAAAACAGGAGGGCACATCAACCCAGCTGTGACCTTTGGTTTGTTCTTGGCAAGGAAACTTTCTTTGACCAGGGCTGTATTTTACATGGTGATGCAGTGCCTTGGTGCCATATGCGGTGCTGGTGTTGTTAAGGGGTTCATGAAGGGTCAATACGAGAGACTTCAAGGCGGTGCTAACATTGTGCAGCATGGCTACACCAAAGGCGATGGCCTTGGTGCGGAGATTGTTGGCACCTTTGTTCTTGTCTACACTGTCTTCTCGGCTACTGATGCCAAGAGAAATGCCAGAGACTCGCACGTCCCGGTATGATTACCCTATTCTCTGCGAATTACTTCAATTAACTTCACCGTTATGGCTCACTAACCTTTTTTTTTGGATATTGCTGCAAAAGCTTAAGTTGAGGGGACTTATTTATTGATTTGAATTTAGAAGACTGGCATATGCACGATTTTTGTGAAGGCGCTGCAATGAGACTTGAACTTATCCCCTCCGATTTAACATTAGTGTTTTGACGAATTTGATTATTTAGCCTGTTGTGGTTGCTAGGATCTATTTGCTTTGGAACATAGGAATAAGTGTACCAAAACCGTTGGAAAGTTTACACACAAAATTCTCGAAAATAATTTTCAAAAATCCTTGTAGCGTTGGAGTAAGATAATACTGGAATATTCTATGTACTCGCTTAGCTGATCCTGTGAAAGTTCATAATGATTTTCATCTTATTCATGTATGTAGTAGTTCTTAAATATGTCTTCGTGCTTTCTTGCAGCTTTTGGCTCCTCTCCCCATTGGTTTCGCAGTATTTTTGGTTCATTTGGCCACCATCCCCATCACTGGAACTGGTATCAACCCTGCTAGGAGTCTCGGAGCTGCCATAATTTACAACAGAGACCACGCATGGGACGACCAGGTAAGATTCTTGCTATTTATTACGTATAACATCTCTATCTATTCCAATGGTTTTTCTTGACTAAATTACACGATTTCTTTATTTTTGCAGTGGGTCTTCTGGGTTGGTCCTTTCATTGGAGCTGCTCTTGCTGCAATTTACCACCAGATTGTCATCAGAGCCATTCCTTTCAAGAGCAGGGCTTAAGTTTTCATGCACTTTCAAGTCTAATAATAGTGTCTCGTGCCAGTAGTGTTTTTTCCTTTGTTTTTGTGTGAAACTTATGGGGCTCTCTATGTATTTAAAGCTTGTTGAATGTCCTGTGTATTAAGAATTCTTTATTTCTTTTTCATGGTTTTGCATTTTGGTTTATGTATTCTGAATCAAATCTTGGATGCGCGATTTCCTCGGTGGTTCAAAGACCAACACTTCAAACCCAAAAAAGAAAAAGAAAAAAGAAGTTGATTTTCAATGAAATTGAAAGGGTCACCAACGGGCTGCCCTGTCACAAAAGGCTTGGGTATAGTCCCCCAAGGGCAATTGTACACCCGTAAGAATAAAAGCATCCCAACAGTACAAAGTAAAGACGGAAGAAGTACCGGCCTTCATTCTTTGATGTAAGTATGAATAAAAATAACAGAATTCATGTATAAGTTGTTGGATTGTTTTTCTACTAAGGGACTAGCATTTACATTTTGATTGTTGGGCCCATAATGGGATGGACCATTTTTTTAATTAACAAATATGGAGGCCCTTTACTCTCATCCCAATTGATATAGAATTCTGTAGAATACAGAAAAGAGGAAATTACACCAACAAAGGTTTTAAGTTACCATTTTCAAAAATACAGAATCAACTTTAATAATACATAAATCATGTTTTAATTAATCGTTTTTAAATTAATTTTTATTAAAATCAATCCTATACAATTTCAAACCTTAATTATTTCATTTTCTCTCCCACCTCTTTCCCTACCGATCACTCATTTTCTCCCTCATC